GGACCTTCCAGTTATCTACCAAATTTGTAGTCCACCTATCCCATTATATCTCAGCAGTATGGTTGCAAGGATGCTATGGATCACTGTCAAAATCAGCAGATGCCTCTCCTGTTTTCACCTCATCCAGCAGACTCTCAGCTTGGTCCATCACGATTTGCCCTTGGTAAATCTATTCCTAGCCACCCTCCGGTCTTTCACGTGCTTGGACATTGCTTCCAGGAGGGTTTACCCCTTAATTTTACCATGGGCTGAGGTTAGGCTGACTGTTCAGCACCTGCCTGAATCCTTCTTGCCTTACTTATAGATGGCCTTGACATGTGGTATAGGAATACCATGGCAAGGTGGCTACCATCTCTTATGCCTCAGCTCCGGTCTGTGGCTGATACATGAAAAAAAGTGTAAATTGTTCAGATATGACAATGTTAGGGCCATGTATGAATTTGGAACAGATAAAGTGTTAAAAGAAATCCTAACAGACTGCCTGTCTTTTTAAAATTAGTCAGTGACAGCAGCACAGGTTTTCTCTCCAATCTTTAAGGCTGTCCCTTCTGAATAAGACATGGTATTAGCTGCAGTGCCTAATTTCAGTGCTTACCTCTGATGAAGATCAATGTTTCAAGGTAAGCACATGCCATAGCACTATGTGAAATGAGGATGGATTTAAGGGGGAGGAGGGGGCAAACACTGTACCCCAAGTATCCAGCTTACTGCTCCAGTGCATCTTTTATGTCTGCCTTGCCTTCAAATTGAATCTCTGATGCAGACATTCTGTAATAATACTTTGAAGTTATTTGCATCCAGTCTACAGAACCTTTTAGTTCTAGTTTTAAATTAAGGACTCCAGCGGTTTCAGTCCTTGATAAGTAAAGCAGCAGGATTTCACACCAATCACACCAAGGCTCGGTTACATTTTAGTCACAGCAGTGAAGTGATGCATGAAACTGACTGTACTGTAAAATCTCATTGTTATACGGATGAGGAAATGGACTGGCTCCAGACACTAAAACAATCCCAAGACAGGGAAAAATGCATGTCAAAGCTTTCAGCAGAGAGAGTTGTTCAGAGCAAAATGTGTTCTTTTGTTAGGGGGCTGCAAACCATGGTCTAAAGCTAATTAGGCAACAGGAACTGTTCTTGGGTGTCAGTGTGATGCTACCAAAGTACAGTATACACTGTTCACAGAAGTCATTGTGCGTTCACCCTATCCCACCAAGCACTGGATTTCTGTAGAGGAAAGTCAAAAAGAGCGTAGGTGTTTACCTCCAGATGAATTTATATGGAGGATAACTTGTGTATCTCTTAAACCCTTTATTTAGTCTCTCCTACTCTGCTTGAAGTTATTTGTTTTCATGATTTCAGCATCACTAAAATAAGACCTTTCTGCTATTGTATTTGTCCATTTCAACCTGGACTCTGATACCTGAGATACGGCAAAGTGCAGAGAATTCCCATCTTAACTGATAACTCTGGGATTTGGGGTTCTGAAAGATGCTAATAAGTCAGGATCAGAATGCCTTGAGTATGATACCAAGGAGAATTAATGCAATTTTCCATTTGAAAATTTCCTATAAGTTTTTCAAATATAGTTCATCATAGAAAAATACACTAAATAAATGTATTTTGCTACTGGTTGATTTCAGAATTCCTGAAGAATGCATCTGGAGAAAGTTTTGACCCCTCATTGAAAACAGCTGAGTCCCTCATACTGCATAGAGAAAAAAATTATCCTAATTATCTGATTATTCTCTCCTATGCTTCGAGCAAGTCAACAGCTCTCTGTACTGATTCAGCTACAGCCTAAAAAGCCCTGCAAAGACTTCTGAAAGTCATCAAAACTAGGCTTTTGAAGGCTAGTAAGCAAAGCCTTCCCTCCAGTGAAAGCCCTTTGCCAGGTCACCCCTTGCCATTTAAATTGAGCAGCTTAAGTACTGAAGCTAATAATATGTGTAACACTGTGATGGATATAATATGCTCTCTGCAGGAAAGCCCCCCCACCCCAGTCCTTTAAATGCTGGTGCTTTCCCTCTCTGCCAGTCTCATTACAAAGACTCATTTCTGCATTGATAATGCAGCAGTGGTAATAGGTATCGTCTCAATGCAGGAAGAAGGACTGTTGAGCCTCAGGGGAAATTTCATCTGTGATAGAACAAATTTTGTTCAGTCTCCTGGACATCTCCTGGACACAGGTGTCAGTTCATGTGACCTGGGTCTGGGCCCTCTTTAATGACCAGTTTGCTACTGGAAGCCTTGTTTCCTATGTTACCTCATCTGAATTAAAGCTGAATTAAGCCTTTGAGCATTTTATTCTAGCTCTTTCTAGAGATGCACCTTCAGCAAATGCCATTCTAGTCCACAGCCAGCCTGTCCTAGTAGGAGCCTTCTCACATCAGTATCTATTCCCCTGGACTGCTGCAGTGCCAGAGTGTGGAAGATCCAAGCTTTCCCCTCAAAAAATCTCATTAATCATGAAGGCAGAATATTTTCTGCCCTCTTCTTCCTTTGGTTAATTATTACTTCACATGAATTGGCTGAAATGAATAGTAGCCACATACCTCTTTGCTTTATCAGTAAGCAAAGCTGGTAGCAAAGGTCCTGATGAGAACATTTAGAGGAGTGGGAAACACTTCCCTGCAAGAAGAATTACCCTGAGAGCCTGCAATGAGAAGGGGTGGCTTTGGAGAATGACAGCAGAGAAGAAAATATCATCTGTTAAAACAAAGAAATCAATATTCTCTGGACTTCTAAGTCCTGGCTGTGGACATCAGAAGTGTATTTTTCTCCCAGTGCATGAGTATACCAGCAGCCCCATTGATTTTGTGCTTATACCAGGAGGATGATCTATACCTCTTTTGGAGAGATGCTAGCTCTCTGGAGAGAACCACTGAGATTTCATGGTGAAATGTATCACAATTGCTATAAAATCACAATTTATCTGCTAAATTCTCATTGACTGAGATAACACCTTGCCAGAAAAGTGGAGCTGCTATGATTTTCTATAATAGCACTTGTGACATTTACGTACCCTTGCCTCTTGCATATCTGCATTGTGAATATCTCCAGGCCAGAATGTAAAGGTGCATGATATTTACAAATCACAGATTTTTCCACAATTTACTTTGTGATGTTGACAAGGACTGAGCCACAGAGGGTATGAAGTGTCTTTGTTATGGGTTTTCTCATGTTTATAGTAAAGCATAAGTATAGGTGCACTCAGGACCAGAGATGGTGTTGAGCTATTAAACATGCCCATGAAAATCTGATATGTTCACAAACAGTACACTGTTATCTCAGTTCTCCTTTGAGCCGTTCCTATTTTCCTGATGATGTTTCTGTCAGCAAATACTGTTTTGGGTGGGAACTCAACACAAGTTCACATGTCCTTCAGTCCTGAATGAATTACTGAGCTTTCGAAACTTAGTTGGACAGAATCCTAAGGAAAAGAAGAAAGCAGAAAAAGTAATTAGAAAACTTCTATAGAAATAAAACTCATTGTATTTGTTACTTTTATCTGTGTTACAGTTGTGGAAAATGTATTTATGGAAGGGTATTTTTGTTTTGTTTTAGCTTTACAAGCTAAAGCTAGAAACAGCACTTAAACTCACAGTTAATAGTCTATAAGTTATTTTTATGGTTGGCTTTACTACTTGTTTACATGACACATCTCTCAGAGATACCAGGCATTTAAACATCAACCAACTACTGGCATTCAATGAAGCTCATTAGTTTTAATTGTATTTATTTGTATGCCTATTATAGTAGCATTTACCAGCTAAAATTAATATTGCTTAGATTGATTTCTCCATCTAAAAGAGAGTTATTGAGACCCTATCCATAAACAATACAGATAGACAACTTGAGAAAGCAAATCATGCCACCTGTCCTAAATGCCCTTGTGAGGAAGGGATGAATCACTCTCCAAAGACATTTCTCTACTGACCACAGGAAGAGCCTTGTTTGAAGTGTTCGCCTTTCGTATGCCTGCAGCTAGGCAAAAGAAGTTATGCCCATGTCATGGTTTAACCCCAGCCAGCAACTAAGCACCACACAGCTGCTCACTCACTCCCCCCCCCCCGCAGTGGGATGGGGGAGAAAATCAGGAAAACAAGCAAAACCCGTGGGTTGAGATAAGAACGGTTTAATAGAACAGAAAAGAAGAAACTAATAATGATAATGATAACACTCATAAAATGACAACAGTAATAACAAAAGGATTGGAATGTACAAATGATGCGCAGTGCAATTGCTCACCACCCGCTGACCGACACCCAGCCAGTCCCTGAGCGTAGATTCCCTGCCCCCACCTCCCAGTTCCTACACTAGATGGGACATCCCATGGTATGGAATACACCGTTGGCCAGTTTGGGTCAGGTGCCCTGGCTGTGTCCTGTGCCAACTTCTTGTGCCCCTCCAGCTTTCTCACTGGCTGGGCATGAGAAGCTGAAAAATCCTTGACTTTAGTCTAAACACTACTTAGCAACAACTGAAAACATCAGCGTTATCAACGTTCTTCACATACTGAACTCAAAACGTAGCACCATACCAGCTACTAGGAAGACAGTTAACTCTATCCCAGCTGAAACCAGGACAGCCCATAATAACAAAAAAGAGGTCATCATCTAAGTAAGCCAGGTATAAGCAGAGGAGGGAAGAGAGTAGCAGAGGTGGAATCTCTTACCCAAGGATCCAACAGATAGTGACAAAGCAAATAACTAGTCTTCAACTTTCAGGCCAATATTTTACTGCAAGCCTACCTTTCACCTTTATAGTCAGTGTAAGCTCTGCTATGGGAGTCAGTGGGAGCAGGATGAGAGCCTGGATGGCCACCTGTAATGATGTAAAATTGGTAGGTTTCTATTTATCTGTTCAGAAATCACTGCTATACTTCACATACTTTCCAACCAGTGTCACATCACTTTGTGTTATTGACTGCCCGGGGAGCAGTATAAACCAGAGGAATGTCCCACTCAAACCTTACTAATGAAACTTCTTTTGCATTGCAGTTGACCTGGACAGGTTGAATGATGATGTGAAACGTTACAGCTGCACTCCGAGAAACTACTCTGTCAATTTAAGGGAGGAACTGAAGCTGACAAACGTAGTTTTCTTCCCCCGCTGCCTCCTTGTCCAGCGCTGTGGAGGAAACTGTGGCTGTGGGACTTCGAACTGGAAGTCCTGCACTTGCATGTCAGGGAAAACAGTGAAAAAATATCATGAGGTATTCTCACTCTTTTTCTTTTCTTTGGTAGTTCTTTTGGGTATTTATTGCGTACATGGATTCTGAAGGCTTTTCTCAGAGCCATGTGTGCTGCTTATATTGATTATCATGTTATATTGATCATGTTTTATTATGTTATATTATCAGAAGGCTATATCATGTTATATTATCATTATCACGTTACATTATCATGCTTGTTTTGATTATCATGTTGGATCTGCAGTGCAAAAATCAATGGGCAAAAATCACTGACCACAGTGAAGTGTCATAGGCAAAGATGCTACCATTTGAGAGAGACCGGAGTGTTTAAGTGAATGCCCCCTGTGGTCACCGCTCTTCCTGAGGTGAACGATCTGCTTAGGCTTCCAGACAGGTTTAGGTAGCCTTAGAGTGGAGCCTCGACTTAGATAATGGCATTGCTTTTGCCGTCCATGCTAGATACCAGCTTGGTACCTCGTGGAGTAGCATTCATACCTTCGACTGCAGCAAGCCATAGAGAGATGCACACCCACACAGTCAACCTGCAGGAAGGCCTGATTTTAAATAAGTGTATTACTGTCTTTAATGCCACAGCATCGCCCAACCATTTACATTTGGAAGTGGTGAATGAGCAGAGTGGAAGGAGGTTATATATGTGTTAGAAAGGGGAGTTAACAGGTATTTATGGGTAAGTTAATTTAGAAGAAGTTGGAGAGAACATTTGCCACCTCTCTGTGTGGATGCTACCACAGCATCCTAGCGAACTTTATTGCAAGAATGAAGCTTACGTTGGACTGATTTTTCCTAGCAAAGGACTGATACAACATAAATGTATATACCACTGGAAATGTTCTTTCTAGTAACACAGAGACATGTGTTCCTTGAGACATTTGACTGCACTTCTTCTTGTGTTGTGCTATATCTTTTAAACTTATGACCATGCTTGGAAATGACAATTAAGTCACTTGTAAACTCTCTTCCCTTCCTGATTTATTACCTGTAGGAAGCAGTTGAGTCTTTCAGCCTTAGTTTTTTTCCCATTCAGCAATTTTTTAGGAAGGTAAAATTTCTGCATAAGAACAAAGTCCATTATATTTATTTTTAATCCATTCAGAACACATTTAAAGAGGAAAAAAACAAGGAAAGAGCATTTTATATTCTTGCTTCTAAATCAGTATTTTCAGAATCAGACATGAACAATGTTCACTAAAGTGAACATATCTAAGAAGGTTACTTGGTATTATCCTTTCAATTGTCTGAAAGTAGGTAGCTGCATGCCATGCTGACTTAATTTCTGACACATATCTCTTGTAAGAGCCTGATTTACCGCTTAGCTGAAGTCTCAAGTGAAAATGAACTTATGGACTTTAAATCTGGATGTGATGTGGGCTCATACCATAAAGACATTAACTTTGGAGACCCTAGGGCTGCAATAGCAGAAGGCCATTGAAGGTCAGACCTTTGCCTTGCTGTGAGCAGAGTGGTTACTCTTTCCCAAGGTAAGAGATTTTTTTCTCACAATTAACTGCAGAATACAGCATACTCCACATCAGCTCGGACTAGAGAATAGTTAATATTTTATCTAATTTTAAACAAGATGCAGGGGATGACTCTGGTAATTGCAGAGTGGAAAGCCTTATCTCAGTGGTAGAAAAGTTAATTGGAAAAAAAATTAATAGGTATAAAACACCTAGATGAATATGAGCTGATAAAATGAACTCGGAATGCCTTATGTATGAATAAATATTTATATAGCACGACAACATTGTACAAGAATGCTAAAAGACCTGGCACCTCCTTCAGAGAGTGAACAGTCAAGCAGACAAGATCAGACATGGAGTAGAAGCTGGTTAAGAGATAAAGTCAAAGAGGTGGAAGAGATGAGCAATTTTCTACATAGGAAGTGGCTATGTGTAGGTGCCCCCAGCACGTGGATTAAGTGTTATTTCATGTATGATCAGTCTGGAGGGAGGTGAACAGAGAGGTGGCAAAAAAGACAGCTAGCACAGGAGATAACATACTTTAACAGCAGAGAAGGCTGAGAGGGATTTCAGAAGGCCTATGTAACTAATAAATACAGTTTAGAAAAGCAGTGAGCATTAGGATGAGTAGTCTCAACTATTTATTCATCTAACAACAGGTATCTGAGGAGAGGAAGGAGAAACAAGGGGTGGAAGTTGGACTAAAGGTTGGGTAGTGAATAACTGTGAAGAACTTCAGGAAAACAGTTATTTAGTGCAGTGGTGATAGGAAAAAACCAAGTTACAGTCATCTGCAGGAATAGAGGTGAACAGGTAATAACACAGCAAATATTATGGCCTGGATAAATTGGTGTGGTACTTTTATACTGAGTTTTGACTGTTAAAAGGATACAGGCAGGAGTAGAAAAGATATATAGAAGCAGAAAACATACATCAAGAGAGATACAGGAGAAGATACACATCAAAAACGTTTGTAAGGAAAGTAGCTAACAAGTTTTGGATAATTTCATTTAGAAAAAAACTGGGAATAAGAGACGACACAGTGAAAGAAAGAAAATAGTGAAGAGTACCTAAAGGAAAATTAGGTCTTCCTAAATAAACTTTTCCTTAAAAAAAGAACTAGAGAGAGATTGAAAGGGAACTAATTTAAAATGATAAAAAGGGATTTGATTTTTTTTTTACACAGTAAATCTATATGGAATTTCAACCCTTAAATACAAGTAGTGCATAATTCAGAAGGATTCTGAGAGAACTAGCAGTAAAATATAAACTAAAGAACCCTGGGTCACATCTGCGTCAGAATTTAAGCCAACTATTGACAGTAGCTAGAAAAAAAATGCTGATTATAAACATGTTATCAAGCACTTATTTTTTGTCAAGTGTTTGAGAGCATCTGGTGCTGGGACAGCAGAATGTCACACTAACCAAGTATTGGTCAGAACCAGGATGTCACGACTTATGACCACCCCAAATTAATGACTAAAATCAGGAAATTCAATATTCATACTAATACATCACTACTAATTCATTTCACTACTTCTTTGTTCTCTGAAAACCGTATGAATTTAAGACAGTGTTTCAGCTTTAACATTAAATGACTTTTGTAAATTTAAATTTAAACGTAATCCCTTAGGGATGAATTAAAAGCTCACTGAGCAGAAATTTAGCCAAGTAGCTCCCATTAATAGGAGTGGCAGTCATGCAGATAAATTCACATATGACATACTAAAGATGTGTCCATTACTTTTAGTCCAAAATATTTTCCACTTTATTATTATTATTAGCCATGCATAGCTAATCAGTTTTATTCTTTATTCTCCTTCGACACTTAACTCTAATTTTATTTAAATGCCTGTCAGTAAAGGCACTGAGGAGGTACCTCTCAACATGCCAGTTTTAGAGCCATGGAGCTGGTATACTCTTTTCAAAGCCAATTTGAAACCCACTAACCTTGGCTAAAAAGCCTTTAGTTGCATAACGAAGGACAGAGCTTCACATTTTATGAAATCCTCAGTGCTGTTAATTTGGTTAAAAATCTCCACCTCTGCTGCAGGAGAACATAGGCCAGATTCAAACACAAGTCTCAATTACTTTGATTTACTTGCAAAAGACACCAGAAGGAAGTATAAGGTAGTGGAGCAAAGAAGGTGCTTGTAGCAGCTGAAACTGAATCCTGCAGGCCCCAGACCACTTCTCTAACCAGGCTGACTTTGCCTAACAGATATCCTGGAGCTTCTTCTGCTGAGCTCCTTGGACCCACCAGAGCTATTTGTCCTGCATATGGATATGCTTGTCCTCAACAGTAAAAATGCAGCTGGAAATCACTTAAAAGTTGTTTGGCATTTCTGAGCAACCCAGTATTTCTGGGTGAGAAAGACAGGCAGGCAAATTTTCCAGAAGTGATAGGCTCCTTTTTGGCTTTGTAGCCAGTGCCTTGCAGTGCCGGAGTAGCTGCATGCTGGCAGCTGTGGGGACACTAAAGCCCAGAGTGTTTGTTGAGAGAGAGGCTTCTAGTCCAGAGAGATTTCAAGGTTATTTTCTCCTTATGCTCTTAATGTTTTTCAGTTCCCCCTTAGTTCCTATTCAAAGCCTCACACTGTACTCATCACCAAGTGCTCCTTCCTAGTATCGCAGGACTAATAGCTATCACGTGTAGCCTTTAATTTCACCGAGCTGTGAGTGCTGCTCCAGTTCCCTGACAGGCTGTACAGCGCTTTCCTATCACATCCAATTGTAAGAAGTAATGCAACAGCAGGGAAAATAAGAAAATGAGAATGCCACGGTAAGGGATATCTTTTTCTTTATTGCCCTAGGAAATGCTAATAATGAGATCTCAGGTCTTTTTTATAACCTGGAAGTTTGCCATAACTTTACCAAAATACTTAGCAGTTTCCAGAAGTAAATAGATTCGTAATTTGAGCAAACAGATAGTTTTATGGGTGGGGTTTTTTTGCAGGAGTCTTGTGATGCTCTGTGGTTTTCCATGGCTTCTGGGTTTGCTTAAGACCAGAGTTCATAGACAAATACTCATGACTTACCACATAGTGTCATGAACCCTGCAAACCAAACAGGCCAAGTGCTGGCAGTGTCTCAAATCATCTCTCAGGCATAGTCTACTATAAGTGATACTGAGTTATGTCGCAGGGCTCCGTGAAAGGGAAAGACAAAGCAATACATGGAAATGGATGCAACACGCCTTAATCAAACGCTCACATCTACTGCTGTCTAACTTGCTAAAGAGGAGCTGAAATGAAAGCATGTTTTCCATTTCAGTGCATTTCTTTGGAAATGCCTGGAGCTGCTCTTTAAAGAGAGCACTAATCCTGGAGATCACCCAGCCCAGAGGAGGTGTGGGGGAACTCAGGCCAGGACTCATTTTAGCTTGGGCTGCGGCTGTGCCATCCACCCAGCATGCACATACCTCAGAGAAACAAGAAATCAGTTTCCCCATCTCATTGCTGTAACTGATGAGATGTGAAATGAGTTTCCGTGAGGAGTAAATGCTCGTAAGGTAGCAACCAGAATTTGTCAGAGTGTATA